AAAAGTATGGAGCTGAAAAGAATCTAATCTTAATAGAAAAGGAAACTAACACCCAAGAAAAGAGTTAAAGCATATATCTTACATGGAAATAAATTATATTAATGTAGCCACATATGTTTATATATTTATGCATTGAGAACATAAAATGTACCTGAGGACACCCGGTTAGGGGTCCTGGGTAAGATCATCTGAGTAGTTTGCTCCTTGGTTTTCAGCCCCATCCGGCAAATGGTAGGACCTTAGGCTTTCTTCATTCATGTCTCTTAGGTGTTCCCAAAAGGGCAGGGCCATGGTACACATTAACAGTTCAGGAGGACATCAGTTTAGACTGCTGGGCTCATGGGGTGTTTGCTCTGCACTTCTGTTCTGTGGTCATCTTGAGTCTGTCACCTCTCACCCTCTCCTCTGCACATGTGTGGTCCTCAGTCGGCCAACTCTCCCAACATTCCTGTTGTGGTGGCTTGTCCTCCAACTCTGGTTACGACTTGGGCCCCTGCCCTCCATATTGCTGCCACCAGGGCCAGGTTGGCTCTTAGCTGCTGCTAAGACCTCGGACAAATTAACTTCTCTGTGCTTTTGATACCCACTTGGAAAATGGTAAAAATATTACCTCTTACCTTATAGGTTTCCCTTGAGTATTATTAAATTAATTAATTACTGTAAAACACTTAAATATATTAGTATTTAGAGAGGTATTTTTACAATATTATAATTATACTCACCTGATACTATGGATCAAACTAAATGTTGCACTCAGGCTCTCTTCCTGCCCAAAAGAGCCCTACTCATAAGTGTGTGTGTGTGTGTGTGTGTGTAGAATGCTTTACTAAAGATTGGGAGAATGGAGGAATTTGCATTTCATTTGTGTCAATAACTTACAATTTCAGGGTATACAATTCTGTTCCTAAACGTTTCTCAAAGCAGTTTAAATTTACTCTCCTCTCATTCTCTGCTTGTCCCACATTTTTCATCTTTATGAATGCAGAGAAATTGAGCGGTTTCTTCGCCTTTGGCTCTACTGACTTGTGCTGTCAGGGTCTTATCATTTACCCCCAACCTGTTTATTAAGAATTTTCTTAAGGGCGCCTGGGTGGCTCAGTTGGTTAAGCGACTGCCTTCGGCTCAGGTCATGATCCTGGAGTCCCGGGATCGAGTCCCGCATCGGGCTCCCTGCTCGGCAGGGAGTCTGCTTCTCCCTCTCCTGCTCCCCCCTCTTGTGCTCTTTCTCTCTCTCACTCTCTCTCTCAAATAAATAAATAAAATCTTTTATTAAAAAAAAAAAAAGAATTAAGCATGGGTATTTCCTTCTTCTGTGAGCATTTATCATGCAGTAGATACAGTTTCTAATGGTTCTTATGTATTCTTTAATATTGAAGTATGTTGAAAGCAGCCCAATGAATTATTTTATCATTTGAGCCATTAGTCTGGCTGTAGGTTTTCTGTAAATCCAGATTTTCACACCTTAGACTGCAAAAGTAATACAAGAAACTGTGAGCCCCTAAAGAGCACAGATTAAATCTTTTCCATCTTCATGTCTGCAGCAGTACCCAGTGGGTGTCTCAAAAATTGATGTACACTTATAATTCATTGTCTGTCTTTTCAGTAGGAATGAAATACTTTCTTTGAGGAGAAGTCTTCAAGCTTGGTGCTTATTTGCAGTTAGTCAGTGTAAGGTTGCAAAATTTCTTCTCTACCATGGTGGTAAAGCAAATGATTCCTTTTGGGCTCAGCTCAGGTGCCAGAGAGACCCAGCTGATATTTATACTACTGCATAGTCCCAGGAACTTTTAAACATCATGAGCAATTCCCATTCTTTTCACTCTACAGGACTTGATATCTAACTTTATGTTACTGTAATAATTCCTCTTGATACTGAGTTTCTTCTGTGGAATAGTAAAGAATTTGAATTTTCTACCAAGTGTAACAGTTTGACCATAGTTACACCTCTAGTGGTGTATTCCTGGGAGAAGAATGGGAGAAGTGGTATCTAAAAGGGAGAAGTAACATTCTTTTCTCTGCAGACATAGTACTTCAAACATGGCAGATATCCCTTTTGTTTTCTTACACAGTTTTGTTTAAAATATTTTTGTAATGAAGAGTGCGACTCTTATTTTTTGATGTTTAACTGACATCTTTTAAGCCTCATCTCTCCCTCTTGGCCATCTCTCCCACTATGGGCAAGCTGATAAGAAAGCCTGAGTGATCTTTCCTTTGTGCCTGTGGAACTTCAAACCCTTGCTGTAATCACCCTCCCTAGTCACCCTAAAGACCTCAAACCAGTCTTTTCCTGCTCTCTCAAGCCATTTTTGAGCCTGCTTGGGAGCTACCCTGTTCTCCCCAGAAAGCCTTATTATATGATTAATAAATCTTTTCATACCTTCCTGGTGTCTCTGTGCACATTTAAGTCAGATTTGAATAGGGGTCCATGCGGACCCAACAATGTATGTGCAACAATTTTACTAAATGTTTATTGCATACAAAAGAATGTTTTTTAAAGTATAAAAGCAGCAATTTATTTATTTTTTTAGATTTTATTTATTTATTTATTTGAGAGAGAGAGAATGAGAGACAGAGAGCATGAGAGGGAGGAGGG